ATATATATATATATGCTAGTTTTAGTTATCAGGAAGAAAGCATTTTACCTTTCTAATAAATTCTCAAGCAGTGATGATGGTGCTATTCCACGAGCCACGCTTTGAACAGCAAGATTTTATTGTAGAGTTACATAAAAGGATACTTGAAAGAACTTGAAGAATTTCATTGCCTAACGGCTATTGGTAATCTTAGAGAATTTGAGATGAGTAGGAGAAATCCCCAGAAAAGACAGAAAAGAGATATGTAGTAACTTTAACTTTTTGCTATATAACATGTCAAATATATTCAATAATAGAAGAATAGTAAAATTAACCCTGTAAGTATTCATTTACCCAACTTCTATAATTGTCAGACTCATGTTTAATTTTGTTTCTTCTTTACTCCTACTTACTATCTTTCGCTCACTCCATTGCAGTAACTAATGTTTCTTTCTTTTACGTATTAGAGATTGTAGAGTGTAATACCAATTCTAATATAAATTTAAGATTTTTTTAATGTGTCATTCCTACTCTGGGAATGAATTTAAGGAAATAGGACGAGGTAAAAATAATTATTGATGTTGATGGAAAACAGCTTAAAGCAAACTAAAATGTCTAAGTAATAAGTAGTAAGGTAAATTAGGATTTATCAGTTCAATAGAATGTTATACAATTTAAAATGATTGTTTTGAAGTACATGTGGTAACAAGGAAAGAAAATTTTTTTAATATAATTTATTGTCAAATTGGCTAACATACAGCGTGTAAAGTGTGCTCTTGGTTTTGGGGGTAGATTCCCATGGTTCATCGCTTACATACGACACCCAATGCTCATTCCAACAAGTGCCCTACTCAGTGCCCATCACCCATTTTCCCCTCTCCCCTCCCCCCACTCTCTGGTCAACTCTCAGTTTGTTCTCTGTATTTAAGAGTCTCTTACAGTTTGCCTCCCTCCCTCACTGTTTGTAACTATTTTTTCCCCTTCCTTTCTCCCATGGTCTTCTGTTAAGTTTGTCAGGATCCACATATGAGTGAAAACATATGATATCTTTCTCTGGCTGACTCATTTCACTCAGCATGACACCTTCCAGTTTGATCCACTTTGCTGCAAATGGCATGATTTCATTCTTTCTCATTGCCAAGCAGTAGTCCACTGTATATATAAACCACATCATCTTTATCCATTCATCAGTTGATGGTCATTTAAGGTCTTTCCATAATTTGGTTATTGTTGAAAGTGCTGCTGTAGACATGGGGGTACATGTGCCCCTGTGAATCAGCAGTCCTGTATCCTTTGAATAAATTTCTAGTAGTGCTCTTGCTGGGTCATAGGGTAGTTCTATGTTTAATTTTTTGAGGAACCTCCACACTGCTTTCCAGAGCAGCTGCACCAGTTTGCATTCCCACCAACAGTACAAGAGGGTTCCCATTTCTCCACATACTTGCCAGCATCTGTTGTTTCCTGAGTTGTTAATTTTAGCCACTCTGACTGGTGTGAGGTGGTATCTCAGTGTGGTTTTGATTTGTATTACAAGAGAAGGAATTTTTAAATATAAACTTTTAAAAAACATTTTACATATGCTTGTCATATATTATTTGATTTTACTTATAATTTTTAATGTCCTGCTGTATTTAAAATATATATAATAAGAAGGAAGTTATGTCCTTGTACCTGAAACTAACACAACATTGTATGTCAACTGTATTGCAATTATAAAAGGAAGAAAGAAAATTATACCTTGTCTTTGCAGGTTAGAATAACAGACGTAATTTTCAATGTGACAGTAGTTCAAGAAATGTTATCTTATTTGAAGTCTTAAATTCTACCATTCTCTGAACTTTTTAGTAGTGCATCTTGATTTTACGTGGTATGATACAGCAGATATTTCTCTTCCAGCTCTTTTCTTATCCTTTAAAAATGTTTTCCCTTGCCTCACATAAGAAATTTAGATTTCCCTCTCTCCTGTGGAAAATTTTGTTTTTTAATTTTATACATAAAATTACTTTTTTTTATTCACGGGAGATACTTAGAGAACATTCAGAATTACATTTGCATGGGAAGAGTGCCTGGTGTTTACTGAACAATCAAGTTATGAAATGAGGTCACTTTCAAGGAGAGGCCAGGCAGTTTGCGAGTAGGTGTATTTGCTTTATCTTTTGATTGCAAAGCAGCCATTGTCAGTTTTATCAAAACCGCATTTCTCAGAAACACTAGTCTATTTTAAAATTTTTTTTTTTTTTTCAACGTTTATTTATTTTTGGGACAGAGAGAGACAGAGCATGAACGAGGGAGGGGCAGAGAGAGAGGGAGACACAGAATCGGAAACAGGCTCCAGGCTCTGAGCCATCAGCCCAGAGCCTGACGCGGGGCTCGAACTCCCAGACCGCGAGATCGTGACCTGGCTGAAGTCGGACGCTTAACCGACTGCGCCACCCAGGCGCCCCAGAAACACTAGTCTATTTTAAAATACAAGCCTACTTTCTAGAATTCCCTTCCATTTGACTTTTTTTCGAGGCATCTGAATCTATGACATCTAAAATGCTTTATATGGTCTCAAAAACATGGATTTTCATTTCTCTACAGGAACAAGAAAGAAGCTGAACTAAAAGCAAGATCATTTCTTTTTTAAGACATTCCTTCATTAAAATGGCCATCTGTTTGGTCAAATACAACTTGTCTCTTCTCTTTTTGGGTTCTGTGTCTACATTTGGACTAGGATCACTTTGCCCTCTTTGTCATATTCTACTTGATATTTGCCATAGATTTTGTTTGTAATCTGTGTTGTACAAAAATGGAGCATTTTCCTTAATTACAGGGTTTTTTTTCCTTCCTAATTCATATTTATTTGAAAAAAAACAAAATTTTCAAGGAAAATCAAAAATGACTTTTAAAAATTGAGTATGTGATTTATATTGCAATATTTTGTAATGTCATCTTGTGTTTATCTTGATAATTTGCTTTTTTTTAAACTCATGACACTTTTCTTTATTTTTTTCCATTGTCCTGCAATTTCAGAGCATATAACTTCTAATGCCAGCGATAGTGAAAGTAGTTACCGTAAGTGTTTTAAGTTACTTGTTCTTTTGTAATCACAAGTAATACATACCCTTTGGGAGTTATTGCCTTAGTGATGTGTTCTAAAAACAAAATCAGATGAGTAATATTTTAAAATCAGGGAGAGCCAAGTAAAAGTCTGTACTTCAGAAATAAAGTCCTATATGTACAACAGCTAATTTCCAAAAATTTATAAAATTCTAAAATCCTTTTTACAAACAGTACTATTTGTATACACAGTACACTTATATGTATGTATCTTTTACAAGAAAAAAATCTGGTTAAATGAGGGATAAACTTCTATTTTGCCATTTTCTTTAGTAATTTTGTTTTTAATATGAGCATTAAAATGTTTTTAAGTAATGCTAAATTTTTGTTAGCTTTATGTCCTTTTTTATTCTTTGTCACCAGTTCTGGGTTAACTGTTCTGGGTTAAGTTTATTTATTACCAGCGTCTGGTGAACATACACGATGAAGGAAAATTTTTCAACAGTTGCTCAAACAATAATACTGATTTCTTTTTGGTGTACTGTGTTACATTCTTGGTATCATATTGTTAAGTGAACTATGCAAGCATGTGAAGTTTTTTTAACAGATTTGGGCATGGGAGTAACAGGGGGAGTGCATGAATTTATCAGTTGTGGTACCGTAAAAATTAAAATTGCTTTTCTAACTTTTTTTTTTTTTTACTGCTGTCTAATGTGAAAGTAATCTTGATTACAGATGAGTATGGCTGCTCAAAAGGTCCATCCTGTTAATATCAGTCTCTGATATTTTTTCATGTTGACAATATATACTTTTAACCCTCATTCATTTCATTGGTTGTTATTTTTTGCATAATAGTTACATAACAATTTTCTTTTTTTTGGTATGGGAATGTGATTTCTTATTAGTGTTTTATTAATGTGTAATAGAACTCACCATAGAGCAGTTGAGTAGCTTTCTAGTCTAAAAAGAGGTAATGAAAGTATATACTGTCTGTCTCACCATTTGCATGAATTGTTAGGTGTGGAATATTCAAATTGCATGTTTTTGCTAATATATAAACCATGTTTTACAGTACTTTAAAAAGCAGCTTGTAAGTATGTATTTTATACATTATGATAATAAATAAAACAGTGAAATACACTTTTAAAGCAGTGAAATATACTTTTAAAGCCAGTATATGAATTTAAAAGCTCTACAGCTGCATACATGTGATATAAACCAGTGACAAATTTAATGAAAAGGTTGCTATAGAATCTTGATAATCAAGGGGAATATCCTCAAATATATTATACAACATTGATTGTTTTTATTGAACTGCTTGAAGTAACAGTCCTTCCTAGTTTGTTTTCTATACGTGTGTGTGTGTGTGTGTGTGTGTGTGTGTTAAGAATCCCAGGAATTTTTAACTCTCTCTTTAGTTCATTTTGCTGAGTGAAGATATAATTTGTAGACTTTTTTTTTTAATTGGCTTTATTAAGCAATTCATGAATTGAGCAGCATCCCATCTAGTAGTAGAAGGGAGTACCCTTATCTAAAGCTTTTTTAAACTCATTTTTTTTTGTTTTAATATTGTTTTTCCTTTTTTT